TAGTGTCCAACCCCTGGTGTCCAACCCCTAGTGTCCAACCCCTAGTGTCCAACTCTTAGTGTCCAACCACAGGTGTCCAACCCCTAATGTCCAACCCCTGGTGTCCAACCCCTAGTGTCCAACCCCTAGTGTCCAACCCCCGGTGTCCAACCCCTAGTGTCCAACTCTTAGTGTCCAACCACAGGTGTCCAACCCCTGGTGTCCAACCCCTAGTGTCCAACCCCTGGTGTCCAACCCCGTTGGTCGACCCCTAAAAGTCGACCTCCGACAGGAATCAAACCCATTTCAACGTTGAGGTCACCTTGAGAGTAGGCGTCCTCCGCGCGTCCGTCCACGGAGACGAAGGAGCCGGAGACGTTGGAGCGCTCCTCAGAGTGGTCGTCGTATTTACCCATCAGCGCCTTCCTGATGATGGCCTCCAGACCGATGGAGTTCCCAGGAGCCTCTGGGGTCGAGTGACTGCGGACGCTGACGGTCCCTGACAACAGAGGAGGGGGGGGACAGGAAGAGTGATGTCACCAGGAGGAGAGGACAGAACAAAGGACACTTCCTGTTTGCTACTTTAAACATTAACTCATAGCAACACAAATGGAGGGAAGTGGACGTAGGTCACCTGCAGCTGAGGACGCCGGCATGTTGAAGATCTCCGTCCCAGGCTGACCAGCATCTGAGAGGGGGGGACATCAGAGGAACGTCAGAGGAACGTCAAAGGAACGTCAGAAACATCAAAGGAATGTCAGAGGAACATAAAAGGAACGTCAGAGGAACGTCAGAAGCATCAAAGGAACATCAGAGAAACACAAAAGGAACATCAGAAACATCAAAACCATCAAACGGACGTCGGAGGAACATCAAAGGAACGTCAGAGGAACGTCAGAAACATCAAAGGGATGTCAGAGGAACATAAAAGGAACATCAGAAACATCAAAAACATCAAAGGGATGTCAGAGGAACATCAAAGGAACGTCAGAAACATCACAGGGACATCAGAGGAACATAAAAGGAACGTCAAAGGAATGTCAGAAACAACAAAGGAACACATAAAGAACGTCAGAAACATCAAAGGGACATCAGAGGAACATAAAAGGAACATCAGAAACATCAAAAACATCAAAGGGATGTCAGAGGAACATCAAACAAATTAAAGGAATGTCAGAGGAACGTCAAAGGAAAATCAAAGGAACGTCAGAGGATCTGAGAAACATCAACGGAACATTGGAGGAACGTCAAAGGAAAATCAAAGGAACATCAGAAAAACATCAGAGGAACATTTGAGGATCATCAAAGGGACATCAGAGGAACATTAAAGGAACACAAGAGGATTATAAAAGGGACATCGGATGAAAATTTAAGGAAAATCAAAGGAACGTTAGACGATCATCAGAGGAATGTCAGAGGATCAGCAAGGAAACATCAAAGGAACATCAAAGGAACTAGAACTGAAACAACAGTCCTTCCTTTGATCTGCGGCCGCTACTCACTGAAGTCGCCCTCGTTTCCCACCACCGTCATCTTCTTGATCATTTCCTGCTTCTGGTACCTGACGATGGACGAGGTACTTTCTGTCATTTTGCTGAAGAAGGCCGGGGGCTGGGAGGTGTTGGGGGGGGAACGGGAGCCCAGTCTGCGCGGAGGACACGACGGCACGCGCAAAGGTCAAACACTTACAGGTCAAAAGGTCACCGCAGTTTTACGTGTCAAAAAGCAGAACTCGGTGTCTTACCCCTGGTCCCCCTGGTCCATGGGGGCAGCGGACCCTCCCTGACCCTCGGGTTCTGAGCCGGCCCCGGCGGGAGACACCGGTTCGATGCCGTCATTGGAGATGCTGACAGGAGACATCTTGGGCTGAGGAGACCTGAGGACAGCAGAGGACAGGACGTTGAGTGGACGGAGAGGCCAGGCGATGGCGCTGTCGAGTAAAAAAAAAACCTACTGGTCTCGGTCTCTGTTGCAGTCCCCACTCAGGGTCTCCTGATAGCGTGGACCCTGGGACAGGTCCTGTGAGGACGGGGGGGGCCTGGGTGGCCGGGTGAGGTCCAGGACGGGGGAGCCGTGGTAGCTCTGCTGCTGCTGACTCTGCCTGGTGTAGTCCTTGGTTATGACCTCCTGTGGACGGAGCACCGATTAACTGACTGACTGGTTAGCTGACTGGTTAACGCACTGGTTAGCCTTCAACTCATCGACGTGAACAAACACAGACAGGAAAGAGGGTATATGTATATATATATATACATATATACATATACACACATATATAGACATATATACATACATATATATACACATATATACATATATACATACATACATATATACATATATACACACATATACACACATATATAGACATATATACATACATACATATATACATATATAAATACATATATACATATATACACACATATACACACATATATACACATATATACACACATATATGTATATATACATATATGTGTGTATATATGTGTATATATATATATACATATATACATACATATATATACATATACACATACATATACATATACACATACATATACATATACACATACATATACATATACACACATATGTGTATATATGTATTTATATATCTGTACAGTATATATATGTATATGTGTATATATGTATTTATATATGTATATATGTGTATATGTATATGTATGTGTATATGTATATATATGTAAATGTATATATATATGTATTTATATATGTATATATGTATGTATGTATATATGTCTATATATGTGTGTATATATGTGTATATATGTGTGTATATGTGTGTATATATGTATATATGTGTATATGTATGTATATATGTCTATATATGTGTGTATATGTGTGTATATATGTATATATGTGTATATGTATATGTATGTGTATATGTATATATATGTAAATGTATATATATATGTATTTATATATCTGTACAGTATATATATGTATATGTGTATATATGTGTATATATGTATGTATGTATATATGTCTATATATGTGTGTATATATGTGTATATATATGTATGTATATATGTCTATATATGTGTGTATATATGTGTATATGTATATATATGTAAATGTATATATATATGTATTTATATATGTATATATGTGTATATATGTGTGTATATGTATATGTATGTGTATATGTATATGTATGTGTATATGTATATATATGTAAATGTATATATATATATACATTTACATATATATACATATATCTATATATCTAAATATATATTTATCTATATATCTTACACTGATGTGCTGAGCCAAGGTGACCGTCCTCTGGCTGCCCTTGACACAGGGGGACGGCGGCTGCTGGCCCGGAGACAGCCTGTCTTCAGAGGGGGGACAGTAGAGGGGGTGAGACTCCATCTTCTGTTGAGCTTAAGATCAGAGGACACACACACACACACACACACACCTCAGTGAAGACACACGTTACATCAAAGGACTACAGTTCCTCATCACCAGGTGTGGATACATATTTGGACTAAACTACGCCCCCTACAGGTGCCTCTGGGGGAAGTTCAGTTCAGAGATGTGTGTGTGTGTGTGTGTGTGTGTGTGTGTCGGGAAAAGGGGGGGAAATAATTCCGACCAATCAGCAGCAGATTTGAGGGTCAGTGTGACGGGGAACATGCAGAGAGATTTGAGGGCATTTGATTAGAAAAAATCAAAGGTTTAGAGACAGAACTGGTCCGGACCGAACTGGTCCGGTTTGAACTGGTCCGGTTTGAACTGGTCCGGACTGAAAACTGGTCCGGTTCGGTTTGAACTGGTCCGGTTTGAACTGGTCCGGTTTGAACTGGTCCGGACTGAACTGGTCCAGTCTGAACTGGTCCGGTTTGAACTGGTCTGGTCTGAACTGGTCTAGTCCGAACTGGTCCAGTTTGAACTGGTCCGGTCCGAACTGGTCTAGTCTGAACTGATCCGTATATATCTAAGATCAGAGGACACACTCCGTTTGAACTGGTCCTGGTCTGAACTGGTCTAGTCCGAACTGGTCCAGTTTGAACTGGTCCGGTCCGAACTGGTCTAGTCTAAACTAGTCCAGTCTGAACTGGTCTAGTCTAAACTAGTCCGGTCCGAACTGGTCCGGTCTAAACTAGTCCGGTCTGAACTGGTCTAGTCTGAACTGGTCCGGTCTGTACTGGTCTAGTCTGAACTGGTCCGGTCCGAACTGGTCCGGTCCGAACTGGTCTAGTCTAAACTAGTCCAGTCTGAACTGGTCTAGTCTAAACTAGTCCGGTCCGAACTGGTCCGGTCTAAACTAGTCCGGTCTGAACTGGTCTAGTCTGAAGGGCGAAACGGTTCCGGTTGCAACTGGTCCGGTCTGAACGGGTCCAGTCTGACCTGGTCCGGTCCGAACCGATCCTAGTTTTTTTTTTTGTTGTTTTTTTCCGGACTTCCCTTCTACGCTGACGTTCTCCGATTTTTTTTTTTTTCCCCCCCATCTCGGAAATA